AGTTTTTTGCTTACTTTCACAAAAATAAACTATCGGGAATGTAAAACGACTGAATTATTTACACATTTTGTTGGCGAAATTAGATTTTTTCAGTTCACATTTGTTTAGTTTTTTTTAAGCCCAAGGGATGCTCTCGTGTGTTCGTATGTGCACATGATTAGGTTAGGTTGGGTTCGACTGGATTTGGTTATGTTAGTTTAGCTTAGATTAGATTAGGGTATTATTAGATGAGGTCGAGTTAGTTTGGGTTGAGTTGGATGAATTTAATAATGTTACTTTATCAGCATTATTATAAATAGTAGCAATTGTCACATTTTTTTTCGTCACAATACCATCGAGTGGTACCTTGTGAGTGGAATAATTAATAAAAGACTATATGGCTGCTTATCATTCTCTGTATTACCAAAGTCAAAGAAAACGTACAAGAAATACTCCACTTACTGGCACTTTGACGTCTAGAACTCATGAAGAACATGTCTTCCAAGGAAATCTGAGATGACGTCATAAGGATCAGGACAAATCATGTTTTCTGATTGGTAGAAGCTGTCGCAAGTCCCGCCTCCAAGGCCCGTGACAATGCCTTCTTCGTATTCCGATAAGTCAGAGAATCGGCTTCTGTAGAAAATGAATAAGGGTGACGAGTAATCGCGTGGTGAATTATAATGACAACGCATGTCTCAACACGGATCTGTAATTCACTGTCTCACTCTACTTGTTTTGCGCATGTGGGTGTGGGTGTAGATGTGGATGTCGTGTGGATGAATGGGCGTGCATGTAAGCGTTTTTGTGTGAGTACCATACTTTTTCATTCAAACTTACGTAATCATCACCAACAGCCCCCTCACGCCTGCAGGTAAGTCCATCAAGTATGAATGGGCGTGGCATACAAGAGCTATCTGACACTCGGTTCTCGTCACGCCCAGGCGGGCGAGGACGAAGCTCAGACTCGGCCGTTCGTGCTTGAACCTCCACCAGAGGGCCTTGAAGTAGCGACTGAGGCCTCGGCGCGAACGGCTTCGCCTCCGCTTTCGGCCAGACGTCGATTGTTCCTTCACGCGTCGCGCGGTCTCGAGGAATTGAAAGTTCTCGTTATTATCGAGACGAACGCTCTCTCGTGTGGGCAGGCCGTGGACGTGCAGGGATCTTGGAGACACGTGCGAGGTGTGGGCCGAGTAAGGAAGGATGAATGAGAGGTAGAGCGTGAGGAGTGTGAGGGTCGCTAGGCTGAACCCCACCAGCATCTCTTTCCGGGGGGATACCTGTAATGTTGAGGGTAGAGATTTTTTGTTTCTTTTGATTAGTTTTACTTTTTATTGTTTAATATACTTTTGAATCTTATGTTAACCTGGATTGCAATTTTTGGCACTGGTCTATTGTATTAATGAATTGGTTTGCTATGTTTTATTACCATAAAGTTACATTTCGTTGACAGATATCTGATATCTGACAGTTTTTGCTCCACTCCTTTCCCTTTCCCTTATACCTATCATCGTATGTTCCCCTTTTAACCCTCCTGTCCCCACCTCATACATCTACTTACACTTTCCCTCTTTACCCACCCACTCAACTCCCCCCCCCCTTCTCTTCCTCACCTGAATGTTAGCCAAATCAGGTGGAACGTGAGCTTCTACCCCGAAGATGATCGGTAGTTCTCCCTTAGTCTCCAGCCACTTCCGCTTGGCCTCCTCCGTGCCCCATGTGTCCAAAAAGAAAATGTTGGCCAAGTCCATCACCGCGACCATCTTGATGCCGATGATGCAGGTCGGTACGCGCATGGCCGTAGCTGAGAGAATAAAGTAGCTTACTGAGTGTGTAAAGGCGTTATAAGCCTATAAAGCAGGGGTCAGCAACTCGGATCAGATCCAGCCCGTCGAGACCGAACTCATGGCCCATTACCTTGCTTGATATTCAAACCGCGCCGACGCCTATCAGCGTGATATTGGCGTGTATAGCGGAACAAATTTGCATGATTGAGATCTTTACAGTCAATGATTTGAGTTTTTTTTTTTTTTTTTTTTTTTTTTTTTTTTTTTTTTTTTTTTTTTTTAAATTTCGTGCAATCTAAGCATTGGTTAGCCTGCTTTCCTGTATCTTTTTTTTTTTTTGGGGGGGGGTACACCTAGGTACTGGTGAGTTCTCTTTGGCACTCCTATAAACTTTCTCTGGACCCTGAATCGAAAGCAAGCAAGACAAAAAGAATGACAATTTATTTTTAAAATGTACTTTTAATTCTGCACTGTTTTTTTTTTTTATATACGAAGAACGAATGGATTACTTCATTAACCTCACAATATGCTCTACTTTTAACATAAGGTCTCTAACGGTCTATATAAATTCAGCACGTGTTATTGAATATATTATTTTGTAACGTGGATAACGAATATCAATATACTAATTTCTCACACACACTCATACGCACGGACGCACACACTCACGTACGGACGCACACACACACACACACACACACACACATACAGTGTATACATACACATAACCATGTTAGATTAACGTATAGAATAATATGGATAATAAATTTCAGAATATTTAATTCGAAGGAGCGAAATAAAAATAACCAGCATTTTTCACATCCCACGGGCCTCAAATGGAGAGGGGCCCAAGTGATACTTATATATTATGAGTGAAAGTGGCTAGCCCGATATGTATAGATGTAACTACGTGCAATCGAATATATCATTTACCCGTCTTACTTTTATTTCATACCTTCAGCCTCCAATATTTTTCAGTCCTTGCCTCGGGTCCTTTGTTGATGGGTACAAAAGTCGGGTGGTCCTTTAAATTGAATAATTCGCTCAGAATAAACCGATTTCGCTGTGTTTTCTTCTCGTCCTTGTGCTGAGGATTCGAGTCGTGTATGAACACGGAACCGAACCCTGGTTGAGTCGGTGTATTACTGCCGCCACGGTGAGCCTTTATTGAAGTTACTAAACGGAAGTGGATAATAGAATGGGTTATTATGCTTTAAAATTACGTACTGTACATGTGCATACCCTTAATCTTATTGAGTTTTATTATCATCTTTTTAATCATGCATTGGCTGATTTGTATGGGGCAAGGGAGGCAGCTATCCCATATTATAGGTATTACTCACAAAACGTTTTAATTATAAATATGTAAGACTGAAACACATAGCCATTATACCCTGAAAAAAAAAATACAATATACTCTTAAACCAAAAATGGGCAAATATAATGTATAGAGCTTTGGTCTGAGTTATATTTACCTTTGTTCACATATGACTATGACTACGGTTTGCTTTTCATCCTTCTTTGGAAAAGGAGGGGGGGTCGATGTGACTACAGTAACTATCAGGGGACCACAATGCTTAGCATACCAGGCAAGGTCCCACTCGCATTCTTTTGAGACCAATTGAGGCACCAGAATCAAGTCCACAATAGACTGGGCTGTTTCCATCCTCAATCAGTGATAGAAGAAGGCGTTTGACTCAGTGCATCGCGAATCACTCCGAGAGATCCTGATACTTTGGGAAACACCGACAAGGATTAATAGATTCTTTGCAAACCTGTATGCTGGTACTGGAAGTGCTGTAGAGTGTGGTGAGGGCCTGTCTAGCTTCTTGCACCAAGACATTTCAACACTTGTATGGAGTAGGTTATGGGTAGAGCTACTATCCAAAGTCATGGTAGATCAACACTGAGCACTATAAAGGTCACTGACTTTGACTTTGTTGATAGTGTTGGCCATAGGCGTAGGAGCCAGGGGGGCTGGGAGGGCTGCAGCCCCCCTAGTCGGGTAAATGCTGGTTGAATTCGGGCAAATTTGGGCAGGGACGTAGATAAGAAAATTCATAGAGGGGGCGAGAAATGAAGATATCCCGACAAAAATTTGACACTAATTCTCATTTTCGATTATTTTGAACATAACATAAGGCCACTAGAACTAAACGAAACAGAAAACCATCGATATTTTTCCGACAAGTGCAGAAAATTTCCGACAAAATGGCAATTTAGCCTTATAGATGGGTCCCCCCCCCCCCGACCCCCTCTATCTACGCCACTGGTGGCATTCATCACAAACTTTCTGGCAGGTGAACTTTCTCTTCCTCTTTCACTCGGGCAGAAAATTTGCAGCCCCCCTAAATTTTAAATGCCCCTACGCCGATGGTGTTGGCATTCTATCTGCGTCTCTGGAAACCTTTGTGATAGATCTTTATGTATTTAGCAATGATACAAAGCCCTTTGGTTGAAAGGTTTCTTTGATGAAGACCAAGATCTAGGAATTGATGGACTTGCTGGGAGAACCTGTTCAGTCGGTGTATGTTTGCAGTGAGGACATTGAAGTCATCGCTTTACATACCTTGATTTTTCTACCATAGTATCAACACAGTAGAGTGTTTTATCATTCGTCATACCTTGACAATATAGATCATTACTCTGAGCTGTCAAACCAGGAAGTCAGTTGACGGATTGGCATAGCAGCAGGTGCCATGAATGGAGTCGACAAGAGTATTTGGAGATGCAGAATCAACAGACATGTCTTCAGAAGTGAAACTGTAGTCCCATACCTTGGAATCTTGCCTTGATGCCTTGTGAAAAGGGTCCTTGCACCGGCTCATGAGGTACAGTTGGTAATATTCATGCGTCAAGTAGCGATTACACCATGAAACCAACACCTAGTTTGCTCCTGAACCAGACTGTCTCTTAAGGTAACCCTGGGTGAAGGAGGCCTGAAGAGCGACCTAAGAAGTTGTGGCATGTAACCTCATTGATTGATTTTTTCTCTATGCCCAATCAAATTTTCATAATCCCCCTCCATTGTATCCCTGAGTAAATTTTGATAGATCCATCACTTGTACCATCAAAGTTTGAAAGTGTATGTGCATGATTTATGTGTGTTTAGAATAGAAAAATGAGAAGAATATGCTATTGCAGCTTTAAAACCTTTCCACCTTTTAATAATATTTGATTTATGTGTCTTGACCTTTTCTCCGAATGTAATAATGTCCAAATGAAAAAAAAATA